GCCAAGACTAAAATGAAGGAGAGAATCTTAGAAGCAGCAAGAGGTAAGGGGACAGTCACCTACAAAGGAGTTCCCATCAGACTGTCAGCTGATTTCTCAAAAGAGACCTTACAGGCAAGAAGGGGCTGGAAAGAGGTATTTCAAGTCATGAAATCCAAAGACCTACATCCAAGATTGCTCTACCAAGCAAAGCTTTCATTTAGAATGGAAGGGCAGATAAAGTGCTTCTCAGATAAGATCTCAAATTCAAGGAGTTCATCATCACCAAGCCCTTATTATATGAAATGTTAAAGGGACTTACCTAAGAAAAAGAAGATAAAAAACATGAACAGTGAATGGACAGAAAACTCAGTTATTAACAACCACGCCTAAAACAAAAGCAAACTAAAAGGACAGCTAGATCAGGAGTGAACCATAGAAATGAAGATCACATGGAGGGTTAGCAACAGGGGAGTGAGAGGAGGAGAAGGGGGGAGAAGGTACAGAGAATAAATAGCATAGATGGTAGGTAGAAAATAGACAGGGGGAGGGCAAGAATAGTACAGGAAATATAGAATCTAAAGAACTTGTGACACATGGACATAAACTAAAGGGGGGAAATGGTGGGGGAGGGGGTGTGCAGGGTGGAGGGGAATGGGGGGAAATGGGACAACTGTAATGGCATCATCAATAAAATATATTTTTTAAAAAAGAAATAAAGAATATAGTACTTCAGGCCCTTGCCGGGTGGCTCAGTTGGTTAGACCATCATCCTGATGTACCACGGTTGTGGGTTCAATCCCCAATCAGGGCACATACGGGAATCAACCAGTGAGTATATAAATAAGTGGAACAACAAATCAATCAAAAAGATGATTTTTTAAAAAGAATATAATAATTTAAACCAAAGCCAAGGTTTGGGTTAAATCATAGATCATACACAGTTAAAGAGATAATTAGTAAAGTGTAAGACAGAGCTAAAGAAATAACTGAGAGCAGTCTAGAGATAGAGAAAATATGAAAGAAAGATGAAGAGACATCGGGATAGACTGTGATTACCATAAGCCTAAGGAGAGTTGCAGGAGGAAGAAGAAAACAAAAATGGCAGTTTATGATCAGATAATAGCTAGAACTTTCCAGAACTGATTAAAGACAAGAACCCTCAGATTCAGGAATCAAAGTGAATTGCAACCAGGCTAAATAAAAGAAATCTTCTCAAACACATCAAAGTGAAATTGCAGAATACCAAAGGTCAAGCCACCAGAAAGAAAAGACATACTTTATTAAAAAAAAACACAACACTACTAAATCCACCACAAATTTCTCAACTGCAGCAATGTTGTCCATTGACAATGAAACAATTATCTTCAAATTATCAAGAGAAAATAACCAAATTTAGAAATGTACACCCAGCTAAATTATCAGACATGCTAGTGAAGGGAAAATAAAGATATCATCAAACAAAAACAGATACGTTACCAACAACAGAGACCTACTAAAGGAACTCCTTAAAAACATATACTTCAGAAGGGAACAGATTCCAAAAGTTAGGTGCCAGATGAAAAAAATCAGGTTAACAACTAAACCCACTATCCTATCGCCAATTACAATGCTGAAGAGCATACTTAGTCCATATTATTTAACCGTCTCCCAGCCTACCAAACCCTTCCATATTCAATAACCTGACAATAGCATATTTTGTGAGTTAGGTATTGGTCGCTTCACTCCAATTGCTTTATCTCCGTATCAATCAGAATCAATTATCAAAATATAGATGAGTAGCTTGAAAAAAATAAAATTTCTGACTAGAATAAACCTTAAACTCATTACATTCTGAAATAATTAGTGCCGCAACACATCTTTCTAGTTCCCAAGCCATGTATTTAACCAATTTCCATAAGAAATGGCTGATAGCTATCACCAAATTAGGGAAGTTTTCTTTCATTATTTTTTCAAATAAGTTCAGTTTCTCGCTGTTCCACATTTGACATCCCTTTGATTCAGATGTTGGCACTTTTGGAGATGTCCCAGAGTCTTCTATACTCTCATTAAAAAAAAATATATATATATTGTTTCCTTATTCTGTTCTGGTTGAATGTTTATTTCTTCCTTATGTTACAAATTAATTTGAATCCCGGCTTTCTTCCCTATAGATTTTTATTTATTTCACTTAGTGTACCCTTCATTTCTTCCCTTATGTTTTTGCTGCACTCTAACATTTCTCTGAGCCTCCATATCACCAGCGTTTTGAACTCTCCATCTGATAAGTTGGCTATCTCTGTTTCACTTAGTTCTTTTTCTGGGGATCTTTCATTTGGGCCATGTTTCTTTGTTTCCCCAACTTGGCAGCACCATGTTTGTTTGTAATTAGGGAGAGCCGCTTTGACTTCCTGTCTTAGCATGCCAGTTAAGTCGTAAGGGTTGGAGCCTTAGATATTCACCAGGGTGGGACAACTTGCTTTTCTTTGTGGCGCTGTGAGGGGAATGGAGTTGGAGAGGGGACAATGCTGCTGCTTGACCTCTGGAGGCTTTCCTGGCACTTGTTCCATTTCCAGTCACTTCACCCACTTCCTGTATGTGACTGGCTCCCTTCTAGCTGCTCCCCTGTTGAAGACTCCCATAACGGGTAGGTTTGCACACCTTCTAGGAATGAGCAGGTTCTTTAAATGGACTCTCTTTAGAAACCTTAAGTTTCTTCTGCCACTCCAACCCCCACTGACTCTTACAGCCAGTTGTTGTGAGGCTTTCATCTCCCTGGTGCTGGAACCCTGGGCTACGTGGTCTGGCCCGGGGCTGGAATCAGTGGCTCTCCAGGATATCCCTCCCAATTTTTATCTGCTTCACATGAGTGTGGGACCACCAGTTTTGCCACCATCACCATCTCTCCACGCCCAACCCTATCCTCTCTGCCCCACTACCATCTTGGTGAATGTGGCTTCTTTAAATCCTTGGTTGTCAGACTTCCACGCAGTTTGATTTTCTGGCAGTTCTGGGTGTTTTTTTGTTTTGAGGTTAGTTGTGATTCTTCTGGTTGTGCAACGAGGTGAAGCATGTCTACTTATGCCTCCATCTTGACTGGAAGTCACAAAAGTGATATTTTCTGCAACCACTTATTAGGCAAGAATGGTCATTTATACAGGTTTTGAATACCTGTATAAATGAAAAAAAGTCTAAATCATGAACCAAGCCATAATCTCAGATTACCTTAAACACTTGTTTAAATACTGATGAAGTTTGGTTCTGATGTGCAAAAGAAAATAAAGATACACAACACACACACACTCTTAAGAGGTCAAACAGTATCATGTTAACCCTACCTGTCTAACCATATTATAAAGTGTTGTCTATTGCTGTTACTGAAATTTAACTGACACATAATCCATTTCAATGCCAATTTGTTAGTCCCACTGTGAAAGAAATGCTTATAAAACAAAATTCTTTCGCACAAGAAAACACTAAACAAATATAAAACTAGACTAGGTTGAAATTTTAGTTATTTTAAAGATTTCTAATTATCTGTTTTTATGGTATTGGGTTGCCTTTTTTAATATCTAAATTAATGTCTCCAAAGAAAATATAACATGGTGAAAGCTTTAAATGACACCATTATGCACCAAAGGATTTATGATTTACCAATTACATATTCCATCACTTTGGCAAAAGGATGAATTTTTAAAAACCATTCATAAACATAACATAGCTGTATATATTGGGTCGACCAAAAAGTCCATTTAGCTTTCTCTATAAAACAAAAGATACATTTTTCATTTTCACCAATAACTTTATTGATCTGGATATTTTGAACATGTTAGCTATCTCGTGTCATAGAACATGGATTGTTCTGAATTAATATCTCAATTTGATCGCTATCAACTTCAACAGATCTACCACACCATGGAGCACCACGCAGCAAGAAATCTCTAGTTTGAAACTTCGAAAACCGCTGTTGTCATGTTCAATTAGTCATGGCACCTTCTCCATACACTGCATAAATCCTTTTTTTGAGTTTCAGTTATATTTTTACCTTAATTGAAATAATAAAACATAACACGCCGAAAATGTTCCGTATTTTCTTTGATCTTCGATATTAAAATGGCTACACAAAAATTCCCCAATTTTGGTAAGTTTTTTTACAATGCAGGCTTATAGAACAGCTATCACAATACAATATAATACAATTGTTTCGAATGAAGTTAAAGATAACTAAGCATTAGTACAGCCATCTTATGAATAAAAACAAATGAATTTTTTGGCTAACCCAGTATCTCCAAATTGTACTTTTTCATATATAAGAATAAAACATTAAAGTAAAATGTCCTGTAAATACTAAGAACAGCACAAATTTGTCACAATTAAACTTAATGAAGAAGCTGATATGAGGAATATTAAAAATGTAGAAATGTAACACATATAAGTATAGAATGCCAAGATTGTATCAATAAATTTTATATACAGAATATACTACACTATTTTAAACTTTTTAGATTGTTGTGTCTATTAATACATGTCTTTGCTTCTAAATCAAGACCTTTTTTATTTTTAATTTTAATTTTTTATTTTATTTTAATTTTTATTTATTTATCTTTAGGAGGGAAGGAAAGGAGAGAAGGAGAGAAATATCAATGTATGGTTGCTTCTGGTGCATCCCCTGCTGGGAACTGGCCCCTGCTGGGAACTGGCCTGCAACCCAGGCATGTGTCCTGACTGGGAATCAAACGGGCAACCCTTTGCTTCACAGGCTGGTGCTCAATCCACTGAGCTACACCAGCCAGGGCTAACGTACTCATTTTTGTAACTAAGATAAAGTCACTTCTCACAAAATAAATAGACACTTAACAGAATTAACTTCCTCTATTGGCACTAGATGCTTCAAGACTATCAAAGATCTACATAATAGCGCAATAAATTTTGGAATTAGTTGAGAATAATACAAAATTTCTACTAGTAAATATAATTTAATCCAAAAATTAAGACAAAAGACAAAATGACAATTCTACAAGAACACTTCTAGTCACAAATGATTAGGTTTTACTTAGGTTTATGGAAAGCATTTAATTGCATAAAACTTATAGGGAAAAATGGCCATATTTGAAGACAGCCACAAGAATCAAAGTAGCACAAAGGATGGTAACAAGCAGAGTCACAAAACATACTAAAGAGGTATGTGTGGTCAGTCCCACTGGAACCTGTAAAGTCACATTCTCATATGCCTATAAAGAGAGATGGAGAGAGAAGTTAGAAACACTTAAAATGCATGGTGTAAGTGAGAACACTATTTCTTTGTTTTTAAGTTTTTTTAAAAAGATCTTTCAGCCCTGGCTGGCGTAGCTCAGTGGATTGAGCGCGGGCCTGTGAACCAGAGTATCGCGGTTCGATTCCCAGTCAGGGCACATGCCTGGGTTGCAGGCCAGTTCCCAGCAGGGGACACATAAGAGGCAACCATACATTGATATTTCTCTCTCACTCTTTCTCCTTCCCTTCCCCTCTCTCGAAAAATAAATAAATAAAATATTTTAAAAAAAAGATCTTTCAACCAATGCTATACGATAAATAACATTATTGTTTGAATGATTCTTTTGGATTAAACATTTTATTTAGTATAATAAAATCAAACTCATCTCCCACAGTAATTCTTAAATTCTCATTAGTTTTGATTTTTTGTATCTTTTACATAGAACTGAGTCTATTCTTTTTTTAAAATGCGGGCTATATCCCAATGTCACCTCTGTAATCAATATGTTTCATATTAGATTATAGAATTCTAAGTTGAAAGCTTAAAAGAAAAATATTAAAATAACAATAAAACTAAGGTATCTATTCATTTTGTTTTGCTGTTTCTCTCCCTAAATAGCTTTTAAAAGTTTGTTGTTCAAAAATTATATAATTGAATATATCCTTTATTATTAGTACAATATTAAATAGTTGTGATAGTGACTAGCAATGAAAAAGTGCTCCTATGTTCAACTTAATTTATATTTTCTATTTGGTTTTGAACATAAAGGGTTCAATTAGAAACTTTGGAAAATTTTATGGTTTAAAAATGGGTTTTTAAATACATTATTTAATTAGGTAATTTGGAAATATACTTATTTTTTACTTCTTTTTATTAATACCTAGATTATAACTTCACATCCAAAAAAGATTATGTTACCAACACTCTGTAACAAAGTACTATTTGAAAATTATCTTTCAAAAAACGGCATCTTAAACAAACAAACCTTGGTATAGATCACCACCTCAATGGTCACCTATTTTCTGCTATATATAAAGAAGATATGTAACACAAAGTAATTTTAAAAAATCAAACTGCTTTTTAAAAAAGATTTTATTTAATTATGTTTAGAGAGAGGGTAAGGGAGGGAGAAACAGAGGGAGAGAAACATCAATGTGAGAGAGAAACACTGATCACTTGCTTCTTGGATGCGAACCAAACCTGCAACCCAGGCATGTGCCCTGACTGGGGATTAAACTGGTAACCTTTCGCTTTGCAGGACTGTGCCCCAACCACGGAGGTCAGGGTTAAAAAATCAAACTGCTTAATTATGACCTCTTATTTGAAGTTACATGGTCTTAAAAGGAATTGACTTAAAAATGTTTTAACAGGGTAATTACTTATTTTACAGCAATGCACATCACCAATTGTTAAAATTAATAAATCATAAACAAACATTAATCATACTCTTTATTTTTTTTAACTTATTTTTTTAGAGAGAGGAGAAGGGAGGAAGAGAGAGAGGGAGACAGAAACATCGATGTGTGGTTGCCTCTCATGTGGCCCTCACGAGGGCCCTGGCCAGCAACCCAGGCATGTGTCCTGACTGGGAATCGAACCAGTGACCCTTTGGTTCTCAGCCCACGCTCAATTCACTGAGCTACACCAGCCAGGGCTCATACTCTTTATTCACACAAGAAAATAAAATGCAATTCTCCAGATGTATTTTAGAATTTGAAGAAATTCAAGTAGCATGTGATACTGCGATTTATATAATAAGAAATACATATTTGGTTTTCATTCCCCTTTCTTGCTTAAACCTCCCCACACTGTTGGAATTTCTTAAGTGCTGAGAGTGACCATGGCGCCTTTTATGATGATGAAGTCACCTCAGGATGAGATGCTTTGAAAAGCACCTCAGGATGAAAGCTGGTTGCCAATGGAGCCAACCACATGATAACAGAGTAGGAACTCTAAGTCACACCTCCTGACTTCCAGGAAGAGGAGAAGGACTGGAAGTGTTGTAAAGACTTACCCACTTTGAAGAGAAGAAAGAAGTAGACTATGTTAACTAAAGAAGGTAAAAAGAGCCCTGGCTGGTGTGGCTCAGTGTACTGAGCACAGGCCTGCACATCAAAGGGTCACTGGTTGGCTTCCCAATCAGGTCACATGCCTGGGTTGCAGGCCAGGGCCCCAGCTGTGGGATGCTCGAAAAGCAACCACACATTGTTTCTCTCCTCTTTCTCCCTCCTTTCCCCTATCTAAAAATAAATAAATAAAATCTTTTAAAATTATTAAAAAAAATAAAAGTGAATAGAAAACTGTAGACTTCTTAGACAAAACCAGTGTTAATCAATTATTAATACCTAATTTAATAACTAAAAACAAGTTAGGAGGTCAAAACTATAAAAATGGTCTGAAACAGCCTAGATTTAAATATATAGTAGTGCCCTAGCCAGTGTGGTTCAGTTGGCTGGGCACCATCCCACAAACAGAAGGATCATTGGTTATGGCACAGGCCTGGGTTTCTAGGTCGGTCCCTAGTCGGGGAATGTACAGAAGGCAACCAATCGATGTTTCTCTCCCTCTCTTTCTCCCTCCCTTCTCCCTTCTCTGAAAAAAATAAAATAAAATAATAGATATATAGTAGTAATACAACTGTCTAAAACTGAACCACAGTTGAAATGATTCTACGTTAAGTTTTATTTTCCTTTTTTCACCTGTTCTGTGTAACACAATGAAGTTAACTACTTTATTTTGCTGTTCAAAAAATGAATAAAAATTTCTAAATAAAGTTTTAAACATCTTTAACTAAAGATGGACATACTACTATTTTTCTTAGCCATTCCACACCTTTAAAAAGCCTATCGGCTCCACTTAAGATCTGGACCAATGAGGCATGAGATTAATGCTCAATTACCAGCCCTCAAAGTAAATAATTCAAAGACTCTTTATAAAGGAGAAACCACTGTTGCCATCAGTAGCAAAGAAACAATAACAACAAAAAAACCCCCAGCTTTCTATGGTAGAACATAAAATTCTAATCCCTTAAATGTGGCAGAAACATTATAGAAAGAATTTTAGATGAGGCAGTATAATTGAAAAACCTAAAATGTTAACTTACTGATTTATATTTCAGATTGTTCCACTGGCAAATATCCTTACTCTTCAAAGCACAAGGAGCTGCCACTTTTGACTGAGACCAGCATTTCAAAATTGGAAACTCTAAGAAAAGTGGTAGAAGATGGTATTAGAAAACCTGTACGTAGACTAGAAGCTAGGTCAAACCAATCAGTCATGTCGGTATATAAGTATTCAAACATTTTAATACACAACATACATGATCTGGATGTATTACATGCTGTTTTATTTTAATAGCCTATTCTAAGCAAATGCGTGAGAAATTATAAAATTACTTCTTAACAAATCTCATTAAATCAGGGACTACTTTAAAAAATTTTTAATTTAAACTATTTCTTGAAGTAGGTAAAAAGATACTTAGAACAGTGCACAGAACCTAAGCATATAACTCAGTAAATTTCCAAGATTAAACTCATCCGTATAAAAAGCACTCAGACCAAAAAACGACAAAAAAAAAAAAAAAAATAATACCAGAACCTCAGATTCTTTCTCCAGAGGGCACATTTTTTTCAAACTTTACTTCAGATATGTCAAAGGTACAACTAAGCCCTGGCTAAGTAGCTCAGTTGGTTAGAGCATTGTCCTGATAAGCTGTGATTGTGGGTTCCATCTCTGGTCAGGGCACATACAAGCAGCAGCCAATAAGTGCATAAATAAGTGGAACAACAAATTGATGTTTCTTTCTCTCAGCCTTCCTCTCTCTCTAAAATCAAAACTTTTTTTTAAGGCACCACTAATAGAAACAGAAAGCTAGGTTGGATGAACAAAGCTAACATACTTGAACACATTTTTTATTTTCTCATTATGAAATATATGATGGCAGAAAATGTATGGATTAAACATTTCATATCTGTCGGTCTTTAGTAATCATACTAGTGACTTATGCAAACATTCTAATCAGTCAAAATTTGGAAACACAAAGAACCAAAATCTGAAAGGAATTTCTTAAAGTCTTGATTCTAAGAAAACCAAATATGGTGAAAGCATAGTTTGTTTTTATTTATTCAAATTTACACAGAACCAAAAAGTCATGGATTATGTTTATAGCAAAAGTAGGTGATAAAGTACCCCCTCAAAAACCAACAGCTGCAGTCCTGTAATACCAGCATGAGTAAATGGAAAGCAGCCAAGGGGCAATGAGGACCACTGTCTGAAAAAAGAAACACACCAGTCACTATATATCTACTCATAAAAGAACATGGCACCACCCATAGTCTTGCCAAAAGTACACCTGAATCAATCACACCTCTGGAGCCAGCTGCCAATTTCCAGGAAATAAAGAGATCAGATGAACTATATGAATACTGTGACCAAAACCCCACCTCTGAGAAAACTTTTTAAATGGGTAAGACTAAATTAGTGTCTGAGAATGCCCATGTGGGTGATAAAAGTATAAAGAAATAGAAGGAAGTGATTAAATGTCAGGACAGTGGGTTTAGTCTTAAAAGACAGGAGGTGGCTATGATGGAGACAGGGTACACGGAACTGTTGCTGGGGTGGCGGGCAAAGTTCTATTTCTTGACCTGGGTAGTAATTAAAGGAAATTTGCCTTATAATAATTCACTAAACTATATATTTGTGAAGTTTTTTAGATTGTGCTTTATTTTAGAATCAAAAAGTTAAAAATAAAAAAGAAACATGCTTTGTTATCCCTTGACTTCAGACCTGCCACCATACCTTTATTTTTATTTTCAACCTTCAGAAAAGATGTGTAACCCTCACCTTGGTCACAATACATCAGTAAATCAGGGTTATTGACTACAAGAAAGATTTTTTCATCTTTAATATGTGGCTGATGATAGCGGTAGTGCACAGGCAAAAGAGCTTGGAAACAGTCGATGCACTGTGAATCTTGTCTGGCATAAATGAGAACTTCAGATTCCTCAGATAAATAGTTGGGAGCTTCTATATTAAAATCTTCTGAAACCATCACTGCCTGTCAAAAAGAAAATAAATATTAACCCAATAGGAAAAAAATGAATGAGGAAGATTTAAAAAACAAAAATAAAACCAGAAGACTGCTATACAGGTGAAATGTCAAATTCATCCCCCTTATAAACAATTCCATTGCCCTTCCATCTTCAGCTTTACAAAAACACGAGATATGATGATCTGTGTTTAATAAAAGTTTGTTTACTAAAAGTAAAGAAACTATGCTGATGCAAAATTTTCTCCTAACAAAAATTATTTCTACATAATTTCTTTATCAATCTTTGTTTAGGTGATAGAACAGGCACCGAGAAAAATTTTGTGCATATACATAGCATTACTTGATAAGTATGAAAACCATTATATAAAAAAGTTAACCCAGTATTGGGTTAAAATGATTGGTATCATTCTAGTCATTTCCTGTTCTTCACAGAAGCAGGTAAGATGGTAGTGAGATACAGCACTGTGTCAGGAAGTCAAAGCAAAGGTCAGCACTCTTTCTATACTAGTTATAAAAAAGTAATGAAAAAAATGGTAGTAATTTCTACAAGAAACAATATGGTAAAAACCATTTTAAAATAAGTATTCTATAGTAAAAGTTAAAATGTACATGTGGAAGAAATTAGTCCTATATTATAATATGCATGTTTGTGTATTGCATATGTATCCATATATGTACACATATTGATACAAGTATATAGGCATTACATACATATCTGTGTTTGTGTATGGATGTATTCACACAGACAACTTCTCTCTAGATTATCTATGCAAAGCCCTGACATATCTCAGAGAACAAAGCACCATTAACTTCTTCCCATCACAGCAAAAATCCTAATTCTCCTGTTTGATGACACCAACTGCTATATTTTTTTCACATGTGGAACTCAATGGCAACAGTCAAGGGATTATATGGAGTCATAAGGAAACTCAGATGTGATCAAATTAAACTGCTGTCCCAACAAGGGTATTTTTCAAGTATCCAGCCACTGCTTGATTATTTTCAATGACTGAGTTATTTCATTTTATCTAATGTTAAAAGGTTATTCTTTTCCTATGAGTAGAAACTTGATGCTCTGGCCTATAACATTCACCAACTGTCCTTGCTTACAATATCTGCAATAAATCTGTTCCTCATTTCACTAAGGGTCCTTAAACATCAAAAGTCCTCCATCAGGCTGCCTCTACTACATTTTCTCCTCACCAACAAAACATTCAGCTCTCTCCCTTTCTCAGGACATGGCTTCCAAACCATTCATCATATTAGTTGCCTTTGGAAATACTCAGGAACTAGGATAACAATATTACCTTATTTAGCCAAAAATTACATTAGCTTTGTAGCAGCCCTATTTCAGTGTGATAGCTCGCTAGCTAGCTAGCTATAGACAAATTCTTAAAAAAAATTAAGACTTTATTTTTAAGAGCAGTTTTAGGCTTACTGAAAAAATGAGCAGAAAATAAAGCATCCACATATAGCCTACTCACCCTCCACACAGTCACATAATTTTCTCTATTATTAACATGGGTATCGTATAGTAATTTTCAACTGGTGTGCCACAAGAATTCTTAACACATGCAACACCTAACTATTTAGTCAGGGGCACAGACTTTTCCCTAACATTGTCAGATTAAAAAAATGACAACAGCCAACACAACAAGAGCTGTCCAGTGTGAATGCATCAAAATTATACCTATTTTTGTCAGACTGGCAAAAAATTTAATATATCTTTCAGTGTGCCACAGAATTTTAGTAATTATTTTATGTTTGCTATCACTGGTGTAGTACATTTGTTACAACTGATAGCCCAGTACTGATATGTTATTAACTAAAGCTCATAGTTTTAAAGTCAGGGTTCACTCTATTTTGTATAGCCTATGATTGACAAATGTAAAATGACACATATCCGCTATTGCAGTATCATACAAAATAGTTTCAGTGACCGTATGTTTTCCCTACTCATCCCTATAGTTTTCATTTGAACTTTTTGCAGAAAACTTTAGGTAAGTTCCATCCTACTTTTTCAAGTAATTAACTCAATCAATTAAATGCAGGACTTTAGACTGATCTCTATTAAATTTTATCTTTTGGGCTACATACAGTCCGTCTCTTTCTAGACTGTTGAGATTTAATCGAAATCCCAATCTGTTAACCAACATTTATCTAGTATTTATCAGCATGGTAACTATGTCTTCAGTATTTTTAATCTAAGGACAAAAATGTTGACCAGGAAGGTCAAGAGAAAAGTCCTAAGGAATATTACTAGAGACGCTCCACTAGAAATTTTTTAATGAACTCTTTCGGTACAAGATACAAATCAAAATAACACAGCCCAATTTTTTCTATCTTGTCTACGAAGATGTATATGTGACCTGATATCAATAAAGGTACCTTTCTTTGATAGTACTTACTATCAGTGAGTATTTCACAAAGTGGTTTATGTACATTATATCCTTTAACTTTCACAAGAATTTTATCAGAAAACTATTAGCTCTTTTGTGTGTGTTACATGCTATTGCATTAGCTTCGACTCCTGGTAATCTCTGAATGAGTGATTTTCACAACGTCCTGTCCTCAACAGCCCTGCTCAGCTACTGTACAGTCACCCGTGTGGCTTCTTTTATGGAGTCAATCCATCTTACGTTTGCTCGTTCTCCTTTCCTGCTGCCTTTTATTTCCCCCAGTATTATTGTCTTTTCCAAAGAACTCTGCCTTCTCATAATGTGCCCAAAGTAGGGCACTTTCAGTTTTGTCATTTTTGACTCCAGTGATGATTCAGGCTTAATTTGCAATACACCCATTTGTTTTATACTTCTGACAGCGCAGGATATCTGTGGAGTTGTCCTCCAACACCATATATTTCAAATGAATCAATGTTTTTCCTATCAGCCTTCATCATTGTCCAACTTTCCCATCTGTACGCAGTATTTGGGAATACAAGGATACAGATATCTTAGCCATGGTCTCTAATGATACATCTTTGTTCTTGGTGATCTTTCCTAATTCTTCCATTGCTGCCAAGACTTCTCCTGATTTCTTTCTTTTTTTAAAGATTTCATTTGTTCATTTCTAGAGAGAAGGGAAGGGAGGGAGAAAGAGAGAGAAAGAAACATCGATGTATCAGATGTGTCAGAGAAACACCAATGGTGGTTGCCTCTCACATACCCCCAACCAGGGACCTGGCCTACCACCCAGGCATGTGCCCTGACTGGGTATTGAACCAGCAACTTTTTAGTTTGCAGGCTGACACTCAACCCATTGAGCCACACCAGACCGGGCTTTCTTTTTTTAATCTCATAGGAGGACATGCTTACTGACTTTAGAGACAGTAGAAGAGAGGAAGAAAGGAGAGAAACATAAGTGTGACAGAGAGACATCGATTGCTTGCCTCTTCTATGCACCCCAAAAGGGGATAGAACCCACAAGGTAGGTATGTGTCCTGACCAGGAATTGATGTTTACTGGATGTTACTCCCACCAACTGAGCCACACCAGCCAGGGCTTCCTTTTTAAAAAAATTTAATCTTTATTGAATATTTTTTCCATTACTATTTATACCCTTATATCTCCCTCCCCCTGGCAATCACCACACTGTTGTCCATGTCCATGAGTTTTTTCCTTTTTGCTCAATTCCTCCACCCCCTAACCTTGCCCCCCAACTGGCTGTCATTTACTCTGCATCTATGAGTCTGTCTCTGTTTGCTGGTTAGTGCAGTTTGTTCATTAGATTCCACATATGAGTGAAATCATATGGTATTTGTCTTTCTCTGACTGGCTTATTTCACTTAGCATAATGTTCTCAGTCCATCCTTACTGTTGCAAAGGGTAAAACTTTCTTCTTTTTTATGGCTGAGTAGTATTACATTGTATAAATATCCCATAGTTTTATCTACTCATCACTTCCATATCTTGGTGATTGTAAACAATGCTGCAATGAACACAGGAGTGCTTATGTTCTTTCAAATTAGTGTTTTGGGTTCCTTCGGATATATTCCCAGAAGTCAGATCACTGGGTCAAAAGGCAGATCCATTCTTAATTTTTTGAGTTATATTCATACTTCTTCCCACAGTGGCTGCACCAGTCTACATTTCAAACAACAATGCAAAAGGTTTCCCCTTTCTCCATGTACTTGTTATTTGTTAATTTATTGATAACCATTCTGACAGGTGTGAGATGGCATCTCATTGTGGTTTTAATGTGCATTTCTTTGATGACTAGGGATGTTGAGCATCTTTTCATGTCTGTTGACCATCTGTGTGTCCTGTTTGGAGAAATATCTATTTGGGTCCTTTGCTCATTTTTTAATTGGGTTGTTTTGGGGGTGTTGAGTTTTGAAAGTACTTTGTAAATTTTGGACATTAACCCCTTACCAGATGTATCAGCAAATATGTTCTCCCATTCTGTGGGATGTATTTTTATTTTGTTGATGATTTCCTTTGCTCTGCAAAAACTTTTTAGTTTGATGTAGTCTCATTTATTTTTTGTTTCCCTTGGCTGTGGAGGTATATCCATTAAAACTGTTATGAGCAATGTCCAAGATTTTGCTGCCTACATTTTCTTCTATGATTTTTATGGTTTCAGGTCTACCATTTGAGTCTTTGATCAATTTTAAATTTATTCTTGTGTGTGGTATAAGAAGGTGGTCTAACTTCCTTTTTCTGCATGTATCTGTCCAATTTTGCCAACACCACATACTGAATAAACTATCTTTAGACAACTGAATGTGCTTGGTTCCTCTATTGACTATCAATTGACTATAAAGGCACGGTTTTATTTCTGGGCTCTCTATTCTGTTTCATTGATCTATGTGTCTCTTTTTATGCCATGACTATGCTGTTTTGATTATTATGGTCTTATAGTATAGTTTGATATTAAGTGGTGTGATTTCTCCAACTTTGTTCTTTTTCCTCAGGATCAGTGTTGCTATGCAGGGCCTTTTGCAGCTCCATATAAAGTTTTGAAATATTTGTTCTAGTTCTGTGAAATACACAATTGGAATCTTGATAGGA